GTGTCCGCGGGGCTGCGTGTCCCTGAGGGAAGGAGCCGCGGGCGCTGGGCGCGAGGCGGGTCGGTGGCTCCGTGCTGCGGGCACCGCTCTTGGCGTAACCCGGCGGGGAGCCTCCGTGCTGGGCCTTCGGCGTGCCCCCTGTGCTGGAAGGGTGACGAGCGAAGGCGGGTGGTGTTGACGGCAGCAGCCCTCCAAGGAGCCTTTAACACGAGCAAGGGCGGCATCTGCATCGCCGGCCTTTGGGTCGTCCCGGGTGAAGGGCATGCGTGGACTGAAATGGATGCAGGAGGTATGAAGGGAGCCTGGTGAAGCTGGAGCTCACCTCTCCCAGGTCCTAGCCCACTGGGAACAGAGCATCTCGGCGGTGCCGCTGGCAGCCCGCATCCTCTCTCTTTGTTCTCCATCACGAACACGTTTAGGTTTGCCCCAGCAGCTCCCCTCTGTAAGGGACCAGCAGCGAGATCCTGGGATCTCGAGCAGCTCCTTGCCCTCCTCGCTGTTGAGGGTGCCTGTGTGGGCTTGCTGGCACCACGCTGAGTAGGGAGTACCTCACTTATCACGGCTCTGATAATCCTGAATGCCCTTTTCTTCTCTGTTCTGCTGCTTTGTACCCTGGTGAGCTTGTGTTTCCTTGCAGCAGATCAGATGCGATGTAATTCGAAGCTGCCTGGTATGACCCAAAATGGAGAGAGCTCTAGTAGCATACCAGGGGATGGAAATGAATTTGTTGACATTTTGTATGTTGGCCTGTGCTGGCGTTGCTATGAGAAAAAAAAAAAAATTCTTTTTTAAGGGGTGCAGGTATTGTTACAAAGTTTCTGTGTGCTCACCAAGATCTGCTTTAATTCTCCAGCCGTAGCTGCTGTGCGTGTATTAAAGCGGCATGACAAAGCAAATCATCCGGCGTGAAGGAGTGTTTTGGTGAAGGAGGGTTTTTTTGTCTCTGTCCTCATGGTAAAAGCAGCTCTTAAAGATAGAGTAATTTATTTTAGAAAATACCTCTATAACATAGAGCTATGTAACTTCTTTGCCAGATCATTGCTGGTAAGGGGCTCTGTGTGTGCAGACAGGATTGCCTTACCGCCTCATTGCGTGATTAACCAGGTAGTGTCATGGCACCGGGGGGGAGTTATAAGGTCATCTCAGATATGCACTCCTGCATCTGCCGGGTGAGAGAAGCTTTATTCAGCGTAAAGGCTCTGTCTTGCATCTTCCTGCTGTGGTCCAGACACTCTGTGCTGTTGCGTGTCCCCCCGTTGCTGTTGGCAGCAGCAGACGGCCCGTTCGCGCCGGTGTGCGAGTCTCCCCAAGCGTCTCCGCGAAGGCTCGCGGACTGTAGGTGTGACAGCCATGGCTTCGGGGCACGGTGGGAGCTTACCAGGGGACTCTGACGCCTTAGCACGCCTCTCCTGCGCCTTCAGTGCAGAGCAGCTCGGGTGCCTGAGAAGTAAGGGCAGACAGATGGTGTGTGCGTGGCGGGGATGTGGCAGGCAGGTCCGGCATTTCTTAGCGCTGGCAGCGTGCGTGGCTCAACCCAGGCCTGGCCCCACGCAGCGCCTTGTGCCTTGCTTCTGACATGGGAATTGTGCCAGAGCTTCAAAGGTGTGACAGTAAGCCTGTAAAGCACGTTGAGATCTTGGCCTGGGGAGCATTTGCGAACTGTTAAGTCTCTGCTAAATTGAAGCAGGATGCCCAGGGAGGTTTTGTGCCACTAAAAGCTGCCAGTTTGTATGGACCCAGCTTAGAAGTGGTCACCTCCAGGCTTTTTGCCTTGGCTGCCCCTTTAAAGTTGCTTGTTCCTTCCCACGGAGTACAGCCACTAGTAATGCTGTCCATGCTGAAATACATTATGCTTTTTAAATACATCTGTCCTCAGCGAGAGACTTGTACAGCTAGCTCTTGGCATGCAGAGCAACTGTCTCTTGGTACAGCAAGTGCTGAACACCCCTGTGAGGTTGATGTGACAAGGGCTGAGCCAACAGGTAATGGGCACCCCAGGAAATGCAGCCTTGGACTTTTTGCAGAGGCATGCCAGAAGAGAGAGTCATGTTGGTGATGGCTCTGCATGCAAGAGGACTTATTATGAGGCTGCAGCTTAGAAAAGCATGAAGGCACACTGAGTGTGAAGGAGATGGGGTCTGTAAGCTCCCAGCAGATAAGCAGAGTAATAAAGGGAGGAGTTCTGGGGAAGTTTCTTGACCTATTTTGTTTTAAGCAGAGGTAGCTTGGGCCAAGAAGGGGTCCTTTGCAAAACAGAAATCCAGCTCTGGTGAAAGTTAAAGGATAGAATCATCATCAAGTTGGTGAAATGGTGTTAAGGCAACTGAAAGGAAACTTCCAAGAGGTGAAGAGAAGTTTTACTGCAACTGTAGCTGGGAAGCTTGCAAGGGAGGTGCCAGGGTTTGATGGCTCATGAAGGTATCGGTAGCAATCGGTAGGGAGTTACCGAGGAGCAAATTCCAGTCCTCTTACTGTCTCTCTTGCCTAGCAAGAGGAGGAGGAGGTACCTGCTTCCTTTTTATTTTTTTTTTTCCCCCTCCTTCCTTCTGGCTTCTGCCCACATGGGTGGATGTGTAGAAGATACACATGGAGTGGTGGTGGAACAAACGGCAAAATTTAACCACAGCAAGTCATTGCATCCAGCTGATTCATGTAAGGGTTCAGAGAAGGTTGAAGGGTTAAGGGAAGCATATGTGTGTGCATAACCACATGTACTGGGGAGCTGGAGAGCAGCAAGTGTTGTCTTTAGCGTTCAGTAAAACACCAGAGGCATTTATGGGCTACTGAGCTCTGTGCTGTCAGATTATTTGGCTGAAACAATTATTAGCTAAATGTCAAAGGAGAGAGACCAACTGACATTTATTCCATAAAAATGACATGGTTGTGAATTTCTGCTATGATTTTTTTTTTTTCTCTACACGATGAAAACCATGGGTAAAAAAAATGGGGGGTTGAGGGGTTG